GCAGACAAAACACTCAAACACATAAAACAAATAAATTTAAAAACAAAACCTAAATCTGCCGCTGCCTTCCAAGTGCTGGGATTACAGACATTCGCCACCAAGACCAAGTCTTCTGTCTCCTGTTGTTGTTCCATGTGACCACTGTCCTCTCAGCCTCGTCCCTCTGCCACCTCTACCCAATGTGGGGGTGACCCACAGGTCCACTGTACAGTGTCATTAGAAGCATCTGAATTGGCCGTGCGTAGTGGCACACTTCTTTAATCCCAGCACTTGGAAGGCAGAGGCAGGAGGATCTCTATGAGTTTGAGGCCAGCCTGGTCTACAGAGTGAGTTCCAGGACAGCCAGGGCTACATAGTGAGACCCTGGGGGGGGGGGCATCTGAATCTAGCATAGTTGTCTTTGTTACATTATAGAAGAGGGATGCATTTCATAAAAACACGAAGTGAGATCACCGCACAAGTGTTGTGCATCATCAGTTCCTGTCCACGAAAAACGTCCTCAGCTGCGCTGTGACTCCAAGGTGCCAGAGGGTGGATGTCTGTCTGTGTCCACTCCCTCACCTCCTGACAGGAGGTGCTGTTGGGCAAACAAACATCTAGTTCTTGCTGGAGCAGGTGCTGCCCTGCACCAAGTCTACCACCCCTGAACTCAGGCCTGACTAAGGAACCATGCAGAGGGGAAATCCTAAGTGGATTGTTTTTTTGAGGGTTATCGTGTGTATAATTTATTCTATGGTTGTGTCTTCATAAAGTTTTTTTTTGTGATATATATATTTTATTTTACAATATCATTCAGTTCTATATATCAGCCATGGGTTCCCCTATTCTCCCCCCTCCCACGCCCTCCCCTTACCCCCAGCCCACCCTCTAAGTGGATTTTTTTACCTGGCACTCCTGAGCCACTTCCCAGGATTTGGTGCTGACCCTGGCACGAGGCTCTGTCCTTCATGCTTTCCTTATAGCCCACCTGTGCTCTCCTCACACCTGTTCTGGTGGCTGTGTCAGACCTGAGGCATCCAACTGAGGACCCACATGTGTGGCTATGCAGTTCTTCTAGATCTTTCTTCTGTCCCAGCACTCTCTGCCCTTGCTTGACCTTGGGAGGTAGAACAGAACATGTGCTTGGATTACAGAACCAAGTTCAGAGAGGTGTGCTCAAGTGTCAGAGAGCCTGGTACATTGGTGTCTCGGAGCAGTACCCACCCTTACCTGTTTGGTCCTTTCTAGTTTGAAGCTAGAAAAGGAGAGACATTCCAGAGAGTAGCGTCAGTCCAGGGGAGGGTCCAAGCCATGTCCCTGACACCCTCAGTTCTGGATTCCTCGGAAACAGCGTCTCACTGGCCGAGCATGACCCTGGCTTCTCCCGGCAGGAGCGGCCGGGTATTTTCTCAGCTGGCCTGGACTTGATGGAGATGTATGGCCGGAACCCAGCCCACTACGCCGAGTACTGGAAGGCCGTGCAGGAGCTGTGGCTGAGGCTCTACCTGTCCAACCTGATCTTAGTGGCTGCCATCAATGTGAGTGCCCCCACCCCCACCCCCACCCCCACCCCCACAGTTCCCAAGGGCCTGCCCAGAAGCAGGAGACACTTTGACTCTGACATTCCTGGGCCAGACAGATATAGCAGAGAAAAAAAATTGGGGGGACCAGGGCCTGGCTGGCTGGAATGAGCCCTGAGCAGATCGACACTTTGGAAGTGATATTTTGATCTGACCTTGGAAAGTAGAAAAAAAGGGCTCAACTTCTAAAAGCAGGGCTTTTGTGGGGTGGTGGTGGTGCACACCTTTAATCAGCCAACCTGGTCTACAAAGCAAGTTCCAGGGCAGCCAGGGCTACACAGGAAACTGTCTGGGGGAGGGGGGGGGCGGACAAAAAATGAAAAGAAAAAAAGCAGGGTTCTCTGAGGGGACAGCTCTAAGGATCAGAGCCATGGGAGCTAAAAGAAGGATTGAAGAGAGAGTTGTGTGACAGTGTACAGGCCTGGGGATGAGACACTGGTCACCTGTCTTGGTGTGGGGCATTAGGGTGCATGCACTGTGGACGCTGCCATTTGGGAGTCCCCAGGCTTCCTGGTAGGCCTGGCTGCCAGGTGTGGTAACAGCTCTGTCTAAATACTTATTTTGAACATTAGCATCAGATAAAATCTACAAAAGGAGAGCCAACTTGCTGTCCTAAGAGTCCTTTTTTGGCCCCTAAAAGCTAAAGAGTCACATGCTAAGGCCTTTGAGCCCATGGGCAAAACTTGAGGCTTTTAAAACCTCAGCTGCTGATCCCAGGGTAGCCAGTCTTGGTTTACATACCTATCCGGCATGCTTGGCCCAGGTGCCAGTGCGGTGCCAAGAGCTCATGCCCACCCTCAGCCCTTGGAAGCTTGGGCACCTTCTGCCTTGTCTAAGGAATATTACTGAGAATTAGAGCACCTACCTGTGGTAGTATTTTGTTGTAGTCTAATAAAACTTGCCTGAAGATCAGAGGACAGCGCCAGCCACAGAGTTAAACAGAGTCCAGGCAGTGGTGGCACACACCTTTAATCCTAGTACTGGGAGGCAGAGATCTGTCTGGATCTCTGTGAGTTCAAGGCCACACTGGACTAAATGAGATTCATCCAGTCTAGGAGAGAAACAGCCAGGCAGTGGTGGCACATACCTTTAACCCCAGTATTTGGGAAGCACACATGCCATTAATCCCAGCACTAGGAAGGTGGAGAGAGGAAGTGAAATGGCTGGGCGGAGAAAGGCGTATAAGGCGTGAGGAGACAGGAACCAGAGGCCCATTCAGCTGAGGACTCAGGCCTTCAGTCTGAGGATTCCTGGAGATAGGCTCTTCCCTTTTCGGCTGAAGAGCTGGCGAGGTGAGAAGTGGCTGTGGCTTGTTTCCTCTGATCTTTCAGCATTTTCCCCAATATCTGGCTCCAGGTTTTTATTATAAGACCATTTAGGATTCAGACAACACCTATAGACCGAGTCTCTTGCTTCCTCTTCAGGGTGCCTCTCCGGCTGGAGGCTGCCTCGTGGCTCTTACCTGTGACTACCGGATTATGGCTGACAACCCCAAGTATGCCATAGGACTGAATGAGACCCTGCTGGGCATTGTTGCCCCCTTCTGGTAAGACAAGGGACTGCATGCATACTCAACAACATCTAGCCCCCAGCACGGAATTGACGGCTGTCTTCATTCCAGGTTTAAAGACAACTTTGTGAACACCGTCGGGCACCGAGCAGCAGAGCGTGCCCTTCAGCTGGGGACGCTCTTCCCACCAGCAGAGGCCCTCAAGGTGGGGGTGGTGGACGAGGTGGTGCCTGAGGACCAGGTACACAGCAAGGCTCGCGCAGTGATGGCCCAGTGGTTGGCCATTCCAGGTGAGGAGCACGCAGCAGGCAGCTTTGGGGCAAATGAGATGGATCACCTTTCCCGTTCTGGTGATCCATCCTCATGAAACCAAAAGCTCTCACAAGTCGGGGTCTGTGAAAGTGGGCTTGTGCGTGACGCTGTGGAGCAGGGGTGAGCTGCACAGGTCATGAGATTGCTGTTGAGTAGGGCTCTTACAGGAGCAGGGGAGCCGTCAGGAACACAGCAGTGCCTGTGAAACCACAGGCACACCAAGACTTTTTGGCGTTTGACCTTTTTAAGCAGGGTCACTGTGTCACTGTGTAGCTAAAGACTTCCCTGAACCAACCTACTTGCCCCAGGTCTTCAAATTTGGAATCCCCCTGCCTCCACTTCTCCAATGTTGAGATACAAGCATGTAACACCAATTAAGACACTAAAACTTTAGGGCCGGGCAGTGGTGGCGCACGCCTTTAATCCCAGCACTTGGGAGGCAGAGCCAGGCGGATCTTTGTGAGTTCAAGGCCATCCTGGTCTACAGAGCGAGATCCAGGAAAGGCGCAAAGCTACACAGAGAAACCCTGTCTCGAAAAACCAAAAAAAAAAAAAAAAAAAAAGAAAGAAACTAAAACTTTAATGTCATGTATTTCCCAAATGCTACACAGTATCCTTTTGAATTTCCCTAAAAAGAGCCGTCTGGGCAGACCTCCTTGGAGCCCTCTTCTCTTAGGAAGCCAATAGCCAATCCCTATATGCATAAGCAAGAATATACTGATATGGAAAATGTGGTCAATAATACAATTCAACAAAAACGACATGCTGGTTATTTGAGGTGCTGGAGATGGAACTCGGGGCCTTGTGCACATGCTCTACCACTGACCTGTGTGCCCAGCCCTAACAACGACATAAAAAAGCAAATTTTAAGAGGCAGGCATAGTGGCATGTGCCTATAATCCTAGCACTCGGGACTAAAAAAGAAGACCTAAAAATCAAAGACCACTCTGGGCTACAGAGAGACAGTCCCAGTAACAGCAATAGCAAAAGCTCTTGAAGTAACCTCCTGTCAGCTCCTGCATTTTATTTATGTTGGTTTGTTTAGACAGGCTGGCTTTGAATTCGCTGTCCTGCCTTAGCTGCCCAAATGCTAAGATACCCAGCTTTCTCTGTGATTTCCTAAACTCTAGGAGAGTCTCTGTTTGAATGCTTGAAGAAAGTATTGTGCTCACCATGCTATCATGAGAGTGTGGTAAAAAGCAAGGCATAGCCCCACATTCTCTGAAGGTGAGATTCACAGGTAACCCCATTTTCTTTAGACCACTCTCGGCAATTGACCAAGAGCATGATGAGAAAGGCCATGGCAGACAACCTGATCAAGCAGCGGGAGGCTGACATCCAGAATTTCGTCAGCTTCATCTCCCGAGACTCTATCCAGAAGTCCCTGAGCATGTACCTGGAAAAGCTGAAGCAGAAGAAGAGCTAAAGCAAGGCTCTCCCACAGTGTGTGGTCACATGTGCCTTCTGGGGACCCACTGGTCCCAAGGATTAGAAACAAGGTATTTTTTTAACTTAGAAATTCTCGTTGCTCTTGTGTTCCTGACCTTAAAATGTCCTATTCCAGGACAGAGAGGTGGCTTGGTGGATAAGGCCACCAGCTGCTCTTGCAGAGGACCCAGGTTCAATTCCCAGCACCCACATGGTGGCTCACAACCCTTTGTCACTCCAATTCTAGGGGATCTGATACCCTCTCTGCTCTGAGGGTACTGGGTGCACGTGGTGCACATACACATATGCAGGCAAAGCACCCACACACATTTCACTTATGCACACACACACACACACATCTATACACATACACACATATATATCTATACACATACACACATATATATCTATACACATACATATATATATACAGTCCTGTTAGCTGGGGGGATAGGTCTGTCAGTATTGTGCTCACCATGCTATCATGAGAGCGTGGTAAAAAGCAAGGCATGGTGGATACACTTGTAATGCAGTACTGGATAGACAGGATCAGGCAGATCCCTGGATTCTCTGGCCAGCCAGTCTACCCTAATTAGTAAGTACCAGTGAGATACCTTGTCTCAAAACAAGGTAGATACCCCCTTGACCCCTGGCTTATACAAATGCACACACTCATACACAGAAGCTGTTCCTTGAAGCCTAAGGTCCTATGACCCCAACCACAAGCACCTTTCTGCTTGGTGAGCACAAAAGTCACTCTGGACACTCCAAGGTCACGCTGCATGCCCATCTTAAAGAACTGTGAACAATGCCTGCAGGTTGGCCTAACCCTGGCCTTTACTGACTGTCTTTTTTGGAACCTTTAAGGCCAGACAGTCTCTGTCCTCAGTTACCCACCAGGACCTCCCGAGGAAATCCTTCTGGCCACATACGTTTTCATTGTGAAGGAGTAGACAGAGGAGCCTGAGGAACAGGAATGTGGAGGGTAATGACTAAAGTGTTGCTTTCTTCCCCTGACCACCGCCATTCCTGCCCCAGACAGGCTCTCATGTCCCCAAGGTGACTTTCACCCTGTTTAGTTGAGGACTAGCTTAAGCCCCCGAATCTCCTGCCCCCACCTCCTGAGTGCTGGATTACTGACATGCACCACCACCGCTGGCTTCTGTGGTGCTGGGGATCGAACCCACGGCTTCAGACACGCTAGACCAGCACTCTACCAACTGAGCTGCATCCCTAGCCCAGTATTGCTGATTCAGTGGCTGAATGTTACCATAGATTTGGCAAGAACCAGACTTGTAGGTTGAGCATGCGGCTTGATTGAACACCTACCTCGTATGCTCTAGGCCCTTGGTTCAATTTCCAGAAATGCCAAACAAACAGAACCAAACTTTTCTGATTCGTCACAAGGGATTTTTTTCCATGTGATTCAGACCCATTTCTCTAATGCCACTAAAGATGTGTTATTGACCTTGGGACACAAAGATGAGAAGTTTTAACAACCAGAAACCTCATGAGAAGAGCCTTGTGTCCACAGAGCTATTTCCTGCTCCTAATGTGATGGCCCACCTGAGCATAAAACCTCCATCCTCCCAAGGCCTTGCCCAGCCCAGGACTTTAGGGGAAAAGCTACAGAAAACACCTTTGAAGGGTGCAGGTTCTGGGCAGGACTTTAGTGCCAAGCAATTGCTCTTGTCTTGCTGGGGTTCCTTCCCAGAAAGTCCCAGAAGAGCTTGCTCACTGAGGGGGAGTGGGGGGCGCAGTGAAGCAGATGAGTGTTTCAGGATTCCTGAAGGCAGAATGAGCACACCCCTGCTCTGAAGTCCAGTAGGGTCCAGGAAGCCATTACTTCCCAAGCTGCTCTTGGGGTTACGTTCATGGAAGCATTTGAAGTTTGCACAGAGGAAGTAAGGAGAGGGAGCTGACGTGGTCTAGAGGTGGCCACTGCCTACCAGGCTGTGAAATGGACAAGCTAAGCCATCCAGTTCCCTGAGGGCAATGGAAACACAGATACTGGGCATTAAAACCAAGTTTTGCAGCCTAGGGACAGAGGTCTCAGAAAGCATAGAGGCCTCATCCAGTCTGTGGGCAGTCCTGGCAAGAGCAGCTTGTTTATTAAGCACGCAGCTATGTTCTTGATGCTGCTCTGGTACCTTTCGTGGGTACTCCCCACAGCAGCCCTGTGAGGTAGCTGATACCAGCACAGATGATTCGGAAATGGGCTTGAAGTAATCCTGTGATGTGGCCATAGCCATTGTCCACACCAGCTGGCCCTGCCCTGTGTGCTCAGCCCAGCGATCCATCATGGGGCCATTCCTTGTGGCCGGAGTCTGCAGGTGGCATATCCTGGAGGCCTTAGCTGTCAGTGAGACTTGAAGGTCACTTCCACAGGAAAATGGTCGCTGATGGCAAGAGCCTGGAAGGAGAGGGGTAGAGCCTCAGCAGTTATGCAGAGCAGCATGTCCCTTAGCTGTCTCCACCTGGGGGGGGGGGTGAAGTCTGGGTGACCACCCTCGGGCCTCATAGTGACCCCAAAGAACAGAAATACTCCAACAGTCCCTCCCTGGGCCCCTGGCACTCCAAGGATCCTTGGCTACAGCTGCCTTTGCTAGAGGGAGCAGCAGAGCAAGCTCAGCAGTATTTCTGTGTGCGCTCTCCCGAGTGGGCTGGCGTATCTCGGGGTCCGTCTTGACTAGCCCTGCCCCACACTAACCTGGGTCTGATCTAGGCCAAATTCCTCCTGAAAGTTGTGAACAGAGGCTGACTGGGGCTCCAGGCTCCTGCGCAGGTGGGCACCACTCACTACAATCCGGTCGTAGGCACAGTCTGAGTTTCCCACTGTGGTGTCCGCACTGTCTGGGATGAGCCATTTAAACACCTCGCTGCTGCGCAGGCGGATCGACGCCCAGTCATGTGCCTTTACATACTTGCAATCAGCGTTAAAGTCACCCAGAAACAGCATGTCCTGTGGGCAAGCACAGCAGGTCAATCTTAGCAATGCTCAGGGGTCCAGACCTCTGAGCACACCTTTAGTGTCCCGGGACGTGAATTAGGGGGTGGGGGTTGCCTACATCGGTGTTCCACTTGTCAATCACATCAAGGTACACATCGTAGAGGGCATCGATCTCTGCCACCGCCTGGTGTGGTGCTGCATGCAGGGGGATCAACACTAGCTCCTTGGCGGCTGTGGAAGGTCAGAGTATGAGAGTCAAGGAAGGCCTGGCAGAGGGAGGTCTGGGAAAGGACAATATCAACCTCACCAGAGCTAGGAGCTGAAAATTTGACCACAAAAGGCTCCCGGCTGAAGGCATCCTCTGGGTCTGGATACTGGTACGTGCTCACAACCGACACTGCGTCTTTCCTGGGAACAGAGGACCGAGTTGTCTGTGGAGCTGGTCACCTCTGCCCATGTCCCCTCCCTTCACCCCAGCCCTCACCTGTAGACAAACAGATACATTTCCTTGTATTGGTCACGCCCGAGTGGCTTGCTGCTCACAAAACTGTATTCGTGCTTGGATATTCTGTGAAGAGACAGGCCAGTCCTGGTCAAGGCGCCAGACAAGCTTGTCACTGTGGCTGGGGTTGTGATGCCGGGCCCTGCCACACCTGTTAATTTGTTCCATGAGCAAGGACACGGCACTCAGGTCTGGGTCTCGTACCTCCTGCACCAGGGCGATGTCATAGCCAGCCAGGATCTGAAGGAAGAACCCACAGATGCGCTGTCCCAATCAGCCTCATTGCCCAGAGCCTAGCTCCTGGCCCCGTCCCCCACCTCCCAAGCCCTTCCGTCCTCATCCCATCCTCCCCCACCCGCCGGGCTCACCTGGGCGATGACACTGCCGCAGTCTGCGTCTGACACTTTGCTGTCACCAAAGCTCTGGATGTTGAAGGCTCCGATGCGCAGTGCTGTGGCCCCCATGGCCCCCAGTGCCCAAAGTGCTGTCAGCCAGGCCCAGGGCCAACCCATGGCAAAGCAGAAAGCCTGGGGACAGGGATGTCCCGGAGTAACACCAGATCATAGCTTCTCTGTAACCAACTAGGTCTGGTATCTATATTGACCTGCATTCCTATGTTCTCCGTGTTTCTTCAGAGTGTGTGTATGTGGGGGAGAGAGCATGATGATCTCTCATTGCAAGGATGGAAGGATTCTGTTCCCACCCAGCCTCCAGCCCAGCCCTCAGACTTACCTGGGCTGTAAATAAGGTAGTGTCCAGAGTCAGTGAGATTCAGTCCAGACTGAGGGCCTCTGTGGCCCAAGATGAACTGCAGTCCTGGACCTAAGGTAACTCTGATTCCAAAGCACCTACAGGTATTTGAAGCCCTGGACCAGGAAGGGGCTGGACTACAAGGGGAACCGCCCCTTCCATGGAGTGGATTCCAGAACTGGCTTCCATTCCAGAGACCCAAGAGGGCAGGAGATGGGGCATATGCTAAACCAACTCCACTGACTTAGAATCATGGCAGAAATCCCTGGGAGCCCCCTGGAGGAATCTCAACACTACAGTGAGGGACATCAATGCCCATAGCCAGCCTCTCGTTGTCTCCACCTCTCCAGAAACTAGATGGCCCAGCATAAGGCACCTTGAGTGGCATCCCATCAGGGAAATAGGCATGTGAATCAGGAAAGACCAGCCCTAGCCTGCTCTGTCCATCACAGAGGAAAGCATCAGCTACTCAGGCTGATCCAAGGCCCCAGATCTTTAGACCAACCCCCTAACCCCTGGCAGTCCTAGATTTCGTAGGTGAGAAGGAACACTCAGACCTGTAAAAGCTGGAGTCACGGATCCTGCTAGGTAGGGCAGCATCAAGAGGCTGTCTGTCAACATGCCAGAGACACCCACGCGCCTTGAGGCGCCACCAGGGCTGGAAGCCAAGTGTGGCTAGAGGGTGGCCTGAGCAGGCAGGTGTGTCCAGAGGGTACCTATGAAGGCAGTGGTACCCGCCCAGAGGCTGCCTCAACTTCAACATCACAAGCTGCAGGTTTTCATGTTTTATTGTAAAGCAAAAACAAAGTAAAATACTACATATTCACATTCTTATCTCTTTTGGGTGCCTGGGCTTCAATGTCTTCTGACCAGGCAGGTGTGGGC